GTTTAGGGTTCAGCTTTAAGGTTTAGGGTTTAGCGCTTAGGGTTTAGGGGCTGGTGCCGAATATACGTCACAGAGACTCTACAAAGACGGGTTGCTAAGAATCAAGCGCCTTTGCCTTGACTGAGTGTTTCTTTCCTATGCTTTCCACAAGCAGCCATGTCTCGCTCGACATCGAGGTATACTACACTGGAGGCTCTTGCTTTGCATGAGTCCGTAGCCCCTGACCGCTGGTGCGTCACCCGCGCTGATCTTCTGGATTTGCGGGAGGAGGTGTGGGATTCCATCCAGTGTGGGGATATTCGGCCAGCTGCAGATGGTGCAGACGACTTCGATCACACTGATGATCAGTATGGGCCAAACATCTACACAGTGAACAGGCAGCACATCATGCCGGTGACGGAGCGAGCTGGCAAGGTGAGCTGGGCGTTGATGCGACATCCGACCGGCCTGGACTGCGATTTATTCATCAGCCACGCCTGGCAGGAGGGTGTTTTTGAGTTTCTGTCCAAGGTCTTGCACTCCTGGCCAGCGGGTGCACGGCACGTCTGGTGCTGCATGCTTGCGAACCCTCAAAATTTGGACATAGGAAGCCTGCTGCAATCTCCCAGCAGGTCTCCCTTCGCGATAGCTCTTCAGGCTTCAACATGCGTCCTTGTGGTTCCCAACCGCCATTGTAGTATCTATACCAGGCGGGCATATAAACCCTTTGTGAGGTGTACAGACTGCCTTATGACCAGTTGCAACGCATGCCCTGACATTCCTCCTGTCAGGCTGTGGTGCGGGTACGAGGCCTACCGGGCCCATGAGGAGGGCAAGATCATCTTGATCGCCAGACCGTCAAACAGCAAACAGATCCGCGTTGCCCTGATGGGGGTGGGCCTAGCAGGACGGGTTGCAAAACGGACACAAGGGGTAGACAACCAGGCAGCCGTTGATGTGTTTCAGGGTTTAGGGTTGAGGGTTGAGGGTTTGGGTCACCTAGTTGGCAGGACTTCTGGGCATGCTTTGCGGCATCTTTGACGAATTAAGAGTTGTGAGAATTTGCTGAATACCAGAACTGAAGCACCTGATGGTGGCCAGATCCCGAGCAACTCAAGATCAACCGAGGCATATGCTTGCGAGACATTGCAGCCCGATTCCAGCCGATGCCCATGTGTGTGGCTGTGGCAGCTGCAGCTGTCAGTGCCAACATAACGCATAACAGGTGCCGCATGGTCTTAAATAGGATCGGGGCACTGGCGTGTGGCCTTATCCTTTTCTACTGGAAGATAGTAAACATCGATCTGGATCGCGGGGAGGACGATCCGCATAAGGTTCCTGACCTTATGCCTGTTGTGGAGCAGCGCTTGCTAGTTCTTGCTGCCATAAGTGTCTTCTTGCTGCTGGAGTTCGATCGCATCAACGGCCAAGCTAGACTATTGGAGGCTGAACAGCTCAGCGTTGGTTTTCAAGGCAGCATTGCCCACGCGACGTGCTCAGAAGAAGCTGACGCCACACGGATTTTTCGGGAGATTGGCGAGAAGACCGCTGCAGTAGACTATGCCATCCATGTGCTTCTGGCCGCGGGCATGTCCTCACCGACGCTTACAGATATTGCGCGCAGAGGGGTAAATGTCTCAGAGGCGGGCAGTGCTGAGATTGCCTGGCCTTTCCTGGCACTCGTACCGTTATGCTTGCTCTCACTTTGGACGATTTTCGTACAGTTCGTGTACCTGCAGAACCATGCACACCTCTGGTCAATTCCTCTCTGGCTTCTCGAGTGCATGTCTGTCCTTGCGCGGGCTGCCCTGCTTTGCATCCTTTGGTGGAGCCCCCGGGACGCAAGGTGCTTTATCTTAAAGATGATGTCGAGGCTTGTGGCCCTGTACATGATTATCAGCTGTCCGCTTATGGCCATTTGGCAGCGCCAGTCACAGGGCCCAGATAGGGGGTGGCTCATCTTGCCCTTGGTCGTCTACACGACCGTCCTCGGAATTGCTTGCATCTCAGTGAGTACTGCGGCCGTCGCCGACAACATTTGCCTTTGTTCTGGAAACCGAAATTCTAATAAGAGGTGGCTTCCGAGACCCTTTCTACCGCAAGCGTTGGTGTAGAGCCCTAAACCCTATGAACCCTAAGCCCTAAACCCTCAACCCTCAACCCTAAACCCTAACCCTAAACCCTACACCCCTAATTTACAAAGCCAAGAACATAAGGCCTCGGAATGCGGCGCCTCTCAGCGATTCCTGTGTTGGGGCCCTGCCTGCTGCAGCTGTTCCTGGCCAGGGGCCTCTGTGTTTGGAAATGCCCCTGGGCGTCCAAAGGTGCGGTAGGGTTTAGGGTAGGGTTTAGGGTTTAGGGTTTAGGGTTTAGGGTTTAGGGCTTAGGGCTTAGGGCTTAGGGCTTAGGGCTTAGGGCTTAGGGCTTAGGGCTTAGGGCTTAGGGCTTAGGGCTTAGGGCTTAGGGCTTAGGGTTTGGAGGGTTTAGAGGATTTAGAGGGTTTGGAGGGTTTAGAGGGTTTAGAGGGTTTGGAGGGGTTTAGGAGTTCAGGATTTAGATTTTTGGGGGTGTTGGGGGTCGACGGGTTCGGGAGCCTCGGGACTCAAAAAGGAGTTTTAAGGGTTTCACGGGTTTGTGCTTAGAGCTTCTTTAGGGTTTAGGGTTTTAGGGTTTAGGGTTTAGGGTTTAGGGTTTACAGAGGGTTTAGGGTTTACGGTTTAGCTTCGAGCTTCTTTGGGTTCAGGTGGGGGGGCGCCCCTGCACCCAGAGGCCTATAGAAGCTTCTAAACTCCCCCCCCCCCCCCCCCCCCCCCCCCCACCCCTTCCTGAACCCGAACCCTAAACCCTAAACCCTAAACCCTAAACCCTAAACCCTAAACCCTAAAAACCCTAAGCCCGAACCCATGCTTTTAAGGCATCCGCGGTGCCGCGCCGCCTTGGTCAAGAACGGAGCCGGAGATAGCAAGCGAACCTGAGTCACCCCGCTCTAGCAGTGAATCCTCGGACTAGCCAGCATGGGCTATTCGGCCTTCCAGCATGGGCTATTCGGCCTTATAGTCCCCCTAACCAACCCTTTTAAGGGTCTGTTTAAGGGGTTAGAGGGTAGAATAGCCCATGTAGGTTATAAGCCCCCTAGCCAACCCTGTAAATTAGGGCCTTTTGAAGGGGTTAGAGGGTCTAATAGCCCATGCAGGAGCTTCCATCACATGGGTTTCCAGAAGGTCACTTCTGTAAAATGCGGTCCGTTTTGGGAGGGCTCCTTATTCGAAGGCGGCGGGTGCCCAAAAGGAACCATAAGGCTGAAATCTGACCTTATAAGGTTTACAAAGGATTTAGAGCTAAGCCGTTAGGGTTTCGGGCTCATGCCGAGAAAATATGGCCCAAAACCGTAAAGATTGAACCCTAAACCCTAAACCCCGAATCCATGTCCCTCCCTAAGCCCTAAACCCTAAACCCTAAACCCTGAACACCCCTGGAAACCCTGCTCCCTTAACCTTGGAGCTCTTAAGTCGGAACCCTTGACCCTGCACCTTTAGGGGTTAGGGGTTTAGGGTTTAGGGTTTAGGGTTTAGGGTTTAGGGTTTAGGGTTTAGGGTTTAGGCCCAAACCCTACACACTAAACCCTAAAGCAGAAAGCCCGACATCCTAGATAAGGACCATTCACCCCAAAACCAACCGTAAGCTCCAAAGCCGGAATGCACCTTGTGTGTAAATACAGAAAATATAGTTTAGGGTTTAGGGTTTAGGGTTTATAGGGTTTCGGGTTTAGAGTTGATATGCGCGCATACAGACCCCAAACAAGACCCTCCCCCCCCCCCCCCCCCCCCCCAATGTGGAGTTGTGCGTAGGCTGCTCGAGCTGTCCACAACGCACGGGGTTGCTGTGTGCTTCGTGAGCGACGGGCATGTCGATTGTTTAGGGTTTAGGGTTTAGGGTTTAGGGTCTGTAGGTCTGATCCACTGGTGCAACACACTCGGATGTCATGTTGCAAGGTGCATGTTATCACTTTACAGTTCCCACCGCATTGAATGCCCGTTCCCTGCAACTCGACGAAGTCGCTTAGAGGCCGACATTCCTCGGGGTAGCTTCGGCTTTTGACATCCATCTGCTAAGAGGGTGTAAGGGACTCATTAGGTTTCAGGGTGCATATAGGGGGGTGACAATGCGATGTGCAGCTGCGCGCGGGTCAATGAGGCTTTGTCATGGCATGCACAACAGCATCGGTAAACCCATCGGCCGAGGCAGTTCAGAACAGCAGCCTTTCTAGATGCCTTCTGCTTAAGCAGCCATGTCTCGTTCGTCGTCGTTTACTACACTGGAGGCTCTTGCTAAGCACGAGTCTGTAGCCCCTGACCGCTGGTGCGTCACCCGCGCTGATCTTCTGGATTTGCGGGAGGAGGTGTGGGATTCCATCCAGTGTGGGGATATTCGGCCAGCTGCAGATGGTGCAGACGACTTCGATCACACTGACGATCAGTATGGGCCAAACATCTACACAGTGAACAGGCAACACATCATGCCGGTGACGGAGCAAGCTGGCAAGGTCAGCTGGGCTTTGATGCGACACCCGACCGGCCTGGACTGCGATTTATTCATCAGCCACGCCTGGCAGGAGGGTGTTTTTGAGTTTCTGTCCAAGGTCTTGCACTCCTGGCCAGCGGGTGCACGGCACGTCTGGTGCTGCATGCTGGCCAATCCACAGCACTTGGACATACGAAGTTTGCTGGAATCTCCCAGCAGCTCGCCGTTTGCACTGGCACTTCAGGCTTCGACGTGCGTCCTTGTGGTGCCCAACCGCCATTGTAGTATCTACACCAGGCTGGCAGGCCCTTAATCCCTAGACCCTAAACTGTAACCCTCAGCCCTAAACCCCAACCCCAAACCCTAAACCCGAAGTGATGTCTGTGGTTTGACTGGGGTAGCTGCTGTCATTACCCTAAACTACCCTAAACTACCCTAATCCCTAAACCCTAAGCCCTAAACTCTACACCCTAAACCCTAAACCCGAAACCCTGAATCAGGCTGTGGTGCGGTTACGAGGCTTACCGCGCACATGAGGAGGGCAACTTGTGGTGGCACGGTGGTGCGTTTTTTTTTTTTTTTTTTTTTTTTTTTTTTTTGCGTTTTTTTGTTGGCCTTTTTTTGTTCACAGGTACATTATGGAGAAAACCCTAAACCCTATAAACCCTATAAACCCTAAACCCTAACCCCCCCCCATCCTCCCAAAAAGCAAAAGGGTACCCTTATCAGAATATCATTACTGGGTCCTCGTTGGCTTTAATTTTACATTATTTGTTCTCATCAAAGCCCAATAAGGATTTAGGATGATAATTTTGCATATAACCCCAACAAGGACCCAGATTACCAAGCCCAATAAGGATTAACATGATATTTTTAAATATATAACCCCGAACAAGGACCCAGATTACTGGGCTACCAAGGCAAGACTATCTTGATCGCCCGGGCTTCCAACAGCCAGCAGATTGGCCAGGCGTTGGTGGAGACGGGCTTAGCAGGACAGGGCTTGGGGCTTTGGGTTTAGGGTTTAGGGCTTAGGGCTTGGGGCTTAGGGCTTAGGGTGCAGGACTCAGCTTGTGCAAAATGTTTTTTTTTCTCGCAGTCTGCTGCAAGGGACCTTGGGCTGTCTCTCGCTTGTTGGCAGGACTCGTTGGCACGGTTGCTGGCATCTTGGGTGTTCTGGAAAGAAGCTGCCAACAGAGATTCGGTTTAGGGTTCAGGGGTTCAGGGTTTAGGGCGTTTTGCATTAGGGTTACGAGTTTGTGTTTTTTTCTTTGATTTGGGGTTTAGGGTTCCGGATTTGTGCTTTTTGTCTTTGCCAGCACAAGGGACTTTGATTGTAGCTGTCCGCCACAAGATCAAGCAAGGCACGTTATTTCAGAGTGCAATGTTCCATCCCGTTCCGGTTTGCGTGACCGCAGTCGCTGGAGCTCTTAGTGCCAACATGAAACATAACGGCTGGCGCATGGTCCTGAATTGGGTGGGGGCCTTTACATGCGGAGTTATTTTCGTGCATTGGCGAACGCTTCACTTTCAGCAAGGGGAGGATACTGCAGATACAGTCCCAGCCATCTTTTCCTTCGTGGAGCAGCACTTGCTGGTGCTTGCTCCTCGGGGACGAAACGAAGCCTAACATAGGGGCCATAAACCCTACACTACTATGATTCCTATTCAGGTGAAGGAACCCTAAACCCTAAACCCTAAACCCTAAACCCTAAACCCTTTTCGAGGGTTCATGCTTGATCCTCGAGGCTGGCATGACCTTCTTCTTGCTGCTGGAGGTCGATCGGGTGAATGGAAAGGCAAGGCTTGAGGAAGCCGAACAACTTCGGCACGGCTTTCAGGGCAGCATTGCCCACGCCACGTGTTCAGAACCTTGGGGGCTACATGAGAGCCCCCAAAAAAGGGTTTAGGGTTCAGAATATACCTTCAGAGGAGATATTACAGTGAGTCAGGGTATACGACTCCGATTTTTTCAAGGGGTTTTATTCTATATATCCCCTTTTGGTCATTGTTTTTATCTTGGATATTAACAACAGTGTTTTTTATTAAGGTTCTAATCCCTTCCCCCTAATTCTATATGAGATTCGCTTGGGCCCGAAAAATAGCTAAAATTAGGGGGGGCCTAAACCCTAAAAACTGAATTCCGAAGGGCTTGGGGTTTAGGGTTCATTAGGGTTTAGCCTTAAGGTTTTAAACCCTAATTAAACCCTCTAAGCCCTGAGCCCTGAATCCTAATCCTGTCAGCCTTCAGCCCTAAACCCTGAAACCCTAATGGCTCAAGTCAAGGGCGAAGGCCCTGAACCCCTCCCCCCCTAATTCTCAAACAGGTTTAGTATTGGGCTGGGTGCCGGCAGGGTCCGGGAAAAATAATGTTCAAAATTTGGGGGGGTTTTAGTTGTTTTGTATTAGGGGGAAGGGATGAAGGGGGTATAGTATTTGGTTCCCAAGGAAGAAGCGGATGCCATACGGATTTTTGGTGAGATTGGCGAGAAGACGGGCGCTGTAGACTACGCCATCGACGTGCTGCTCGCCGCAGGCATGTCCTCGCCGACGCTCAGGGAGACCGCGCGCAAAGGGATCGACGTGCCTTGGGGGGCTACATGAACCCTATAAGGGCTTATGGTTCATACACCTTAATAGGAATACTAAATGAGCCCTATAAAAGGGTTTATGGTTCATATAGACCGTAATCGGAATCATATATATATATATATAGTAGTCAGGGTATACGACCCCCCCCCCCCAATGTTAGGGCTCATGGTCGTCCCTTGCAAGGTGGGAGGGGCCGGGAGCGCCGAGATTGCGTTTCCTTTCGTGGCGCTGGTGCCGCTGAGCATCGAGACGATCTGGTCGATCTACGTGGACTTCATCTACCTGCACGATCATGTTCCTTGGGGACGACATGAACCCTAAAGTTGGGGGGTCATGTACCCTGACTACTATAATTCCTATTAAGGTATATGAACCATAAACCCTTTTAGGGCTCATGTCCTCTATCCCCCTTGGGGTTTTTTAACTTTTGTTTATATCAACCCTTAAGAGGATATTCAGAATATTGTTTGGATTCAGGTTCTATAAGGGGAGTCTAGGTTCACCTCTGGTCGATTCCGCTCTGGCTTTTCCAGACCATGACGGTCGTGACTCGCGTCGGCGTGCTCCTGAGACTCTGGCGAAGCCCCGAGGATGAGAGGTGCTTCATCCTTAAGATGATGGCGAAGATTGTGGCGCTGTACCTTGGGGGACGACATGAACCCTTAAATTGGGGGGTCATGTACCCTGACTACTCTAATTCCAATTAAGGCTATATGAACCATAAACCCTTTTAGGGTTCATAATTCGTCCCCAAGGTACATGCTGATCATCTGTCCGCTTCTAGCAATGTGGGAACTGCGAGCCGGAGGCACATTCGCACCGGACAGCGGGTGGTTTGCTCTACCCTTTGTTCCTTGAGGACGAAATGAACCCTAAAATTGGGGGTCATGTACCCTGATTACTATAATTCCAATTAAGGCATTTGAACCATAAACCCTTTTAGGTTTCATTTCGTCCCCAAGGTTGTCTACACCAGCATCCTCGCTTTTGCCTGCGCCTGGCTGGTACCAGTATAGGTCCGCGTAATCCCTTCCCCTAATCCATTGGTCTCGGTTTTGGAGTTTAGGGTCCATATAGGTTTAGGGTTCAGGGTTTAGGGTTTAGGGTTTAGGGTTTAGGTTTTAGGGTTTTAGGGTTTTAGGGTTTATAGGGTTCAGGGTTCAGGGCTCATGATGAAGGTGTATGGTTTGGGGCCGGGGGCGGTGAGGAAACCCTACGAAAGGCTCGTTTGCAGGGCTGGCCTTGCTCCTCCAAAAACATCATCCCAGGGAGCCAACTGAACCCTAAAAGGCTCTGGGGATTAGGGTTTAGAGTTTAGGGTTGAGGGTTTCTTAGCTTTAGAGTGCCTGGGGCGAGTTTTGGAGCTACTTTCCTACCTAGAGGTTCCTTTTGAATCCTTTGAATTTGAGTCCTTGTGTGTTAGGGTTCAGGGTTGAGCGTTTGGGGTCGATGGTCTTGGGGGTTTATGGTTCACATACCTTAATGGGAATTCCAGTAGTACCGGGTGTACGATCCCAATTTTCGGGTTCATTGAGGCCCCCAACAAAAGTGGGGAAAGGATTACGCCGACCGTGTTCTCTTCTTGGTCCGGAGCAGCCTAAAAAACTAAACCCTAAATTCTAAACCCTAAACCCTAAACCCTATACCCTCAATTCTAAACCCTAAACCCTAAACCCTAAATTCTAAACCCTAAACCCTAAACCCTAAACCCTAAACCCATGATTCAAGCCTCATCGCCAAAGAGCTCCCTACCCAGGAGCGCGATGTTGAGGTATCCGTAAGTTCGAGAGTTCCAGGTGTTCCCAAGGTTCAATTGAGCCCTATACTAGAAACCCTTCTTGACCCTGTTTGCTTCAAGAAAGGGTCAAATCCCCCAAAATCATGAACCCGAAGCCCTAAACACCATCTCTCCCCCCTTCCCCGAACCCGAATCCCTAAACCCCAAACCTCAAACCCTAAACCCTATAAACCCCAAAGCCTCGACCACAAACCCTAAACCCCAAACCCCCAACCCTAAACCCTATAAACCCCAAACCCGAACCCTAAACCCCAAACTCTCCCCAAACTCTAAACCCTGAACCCTAAACCCTAAACTCTAAACTCCCCCTCCCAAAAAAACAAAGAAGATAAGGCCTTGGGATGCAACGCCTTGGGACGATTCCCGTGCTGGGGCCCTGCTTGCTGCAGCTCTTCCTGGCCAGGGGCCACACTGCCTTTGCAAGCTGCTCGGCAGGGTTTAGGGTTTAGGGTTTAGGGGTTTAGGGGTTTAGGGGTTTAGGGGTTTAGGGGTTTAGGGGTTTAGGGGTTCAGGGGTTCAGGGGTTTAGGGTGTATAGGGTGTACAGGGCTTCAGCCAGGCCTGACGCTTCGAGCACATGTGTGAGAGAGAGAAAGAGAGAGATGAGAGAGGGTTTAGGGTTTAGGGTTTAGGGTTTAGGGTTGAAAGGTTAAGTTGTTGAGGGTTTAGGGTTTAGTGTGTGGTGTATAGGGCTTTCTTGAGGGCTAGGGACTGTAGTGTTCAGCTTTTTGTTTGTTTTTTTTTTTTTTGGGGGGGGGGGGGGGTGCATAGTGTGAGGGGCCCCAGAAACTAAACCCTAAGCCCTAAACCCTAAACCCTAAACCCCAAACTTGGGTTCGGCCGGTCCACACTAACAGTCAAATAACGCCGTGGCCTTATAACACACAGGCCAAAAATAGCACCAGGAATCCCAGTCAATTTTAGCATTTACCGGGTGCTTCTTTTTGTGGGTCTGCTGGTGGTGACTGTTAGTCACATAGCAGCAGAAATAGCACCAGAAATAGCACAAACAATAGCACAAAAAATAGCACCAGAAATAGCACCAGGAATAGCACAAAAAATAGCACCAGAAATAGCACAAACAATAGCACCAGAAATAGCACCAGGAATC